TATGCAAAGGGAGAAGAGGGTAGCAAAATAGAGAGTCAAGAAGAAAATAAAATATTGGGTACAAAGGCATTTAAAACGTTGTCCAACAGTTGCAAAAATGAGACGCAAATCACAAAGGAGAGAAAACAAACACATAACGACACGATACAACTAGAAAATTACGAAGAAAAAGATGAAGATGCAAACAGCAAACCACCAATATTTGAACGAAAGGACAAGACATACGACGAGAAAAAAAAGGAAAAAACAACAATTCAACGCCAAACAAAGAATTGTAGGGGGGTGCAAGTGTGATATGGAGTGTATCATGTGAAGAGGAGATGAAAGTTTACGAGCTATTGTGGAGCCAGCCCAGATTCCGTCTTCGTTGTTCGTTTGTGCACTGACTGGCCTACCTACCAGCTCACCATCTTTCTCTCCCCCGACAGATTCCATGTTTCCATAGTAAGCCCACTCATCCTGCCACTTCTTCTTGCCCAACATCTCCATACAGGTTTCCTTCCACGTCGCCTTCAGAGACTTCCAGTGTTAATCCAATTATATTCCCTCGGTGGTGATGCATAGTGTCTCCAACTATTTGCTGATAACTGCCGTGAAGTTGTCTTTTCATCTTTATCCTCCAGTTGTTGAGTGCTGAATGTTCCCAACTTGGTCTTGAAGATTTCTTGCACTAGATAATGGTCTGAGCACACATCTGCTCCTCATCTCGATTTTGTGTCCAACAGGCTGCGTCTCTACCTTCTTCAGATTGAGGTCAAGTCTATCTGATTTTTAGTGTGTCCATCTGATGAAACCCACGCCGAGACTTCGCGTGTAGAAGTCTGCGAACAATTCTTAGTTCTCAGGTATTTCACCGACCAGCACTCTACCCATGATTTCTCTTCCAGTCTCATTATCTCCCAGTCTGTTGGAATCCATATCACTAATTAGAACTTTTATGTCACCCTCTGACTTGAGTCTTGGCAGTTAGGGCTTGCAGTTACCTGAAGAAGTTCTCCTCCTTCTCCACTGGGTCTGGGTTGTTTGTAATATTGTGCGTAGCAATTTTAGCTGACATAAAATTAGGTTGGACAAGAGTTACAAGTGGTGAAACCAAAATATGGTGTCTGTTGATGAAGTCTTTGACTGTTTGTCTGAGCCAGCCACATAGGTCGGTGTAGGCTGCCTGATCGGGGTCTTCGGGATGCGAAGAACCAACAGTTTGAGACTACTGGTGATATGCCTTAAAATGGTTCTCAATGGCGTTCATGCATTCACTCTCCGTGATCTCCCAGACCGATTCAGCCCTCAAATTTTTCCATGTTTGTATTCCTTCTTCCTCACACTTCTGTTCATTATAATTGTTCTAAATCTCTTTTCTCTATTCCTATGTGGTACTTGGAGTGTGGCAACTTGAACTACTACACTTCTGTGCAAAGTTCTATGTTTAAACTTAGTCAGTCAGTTGGCGTAGTCTTGTGTAGTTGCAGTTTTCCTTCCTTTCCGGTTGAATCTCGCTGTTATGATTCTAGAGGAGATTCGTTTCCACTTCATGAGAGCTTTTGATGTTAATGACATCATGATAGCCACACACTCATTGTGCTTGTGGTTGTCATCTGGGTGCTCAGAATTTATTACTGACTCTCTAGTTAACAATTTGGAGAGACCACTTCTATTCCATCTGCTCTTGCAGATTCATACATTATCGGTGCTTTTTTTCCTGACTTCTTGTTCAGTTTAATGCCTTTTATTGGAAGTGGGAGGAATGTTATTTCGTTTTTTTTTCTTATTTCACTGTGAGTTTTTTGGTACTACACATAGCGTTTCATTTTATTTACATATCGCTATTTACATATTTCCTTATATTGATGCGAATTACTTAATGCTTTTAGAACATAATTCCTGGATTTTTACTGTTCCATGACATTGCCATCTTTGCACTGATGACGGTGGTCAACTTCGCTGCACTGGTTCTTTTATTTCCATATTTATTTTAGGTCTTAATTTGTGTTTAACTTACCTGTATGTATCAACTGATTAACATCTGCTTGTTTTGTATTTCAATCAGCTGACATAGTTTGTACGACTGATTCACATCTTCTTCTTCTTCCCCTATATTCCTATCACTATATTTCGGAACACTTTGAAAGCATTCTACTGAGTACTCGACAGGTATGCTCATCCACAAAAGTACACATTCCAGGGAACACAGTGAGAATTGTCAGTTACTGAGATAAATCACCGTCGGCCATCAATCCAGTATACCTCTGATCTCAACTTATCCCAAGAAGTGTCGTATATCTGCCTATCCCTAAAATTTCAAATTAAGACAACAGTTAATATATGTGTAAAACTTGGGCACTGTGGTAGTAAACAATTCCATGTTAGTTTGTTTATTACATATATCACACAGTGAAACAGTATTATTTACTGGATGACTTTTCGAACAAAATTTATTGTTCATAATCATATCAACTGTAATCACACGACTTTGAGTTTTATAGCTTTCTGCTATTTGTCGTAGAGGTAGTAGAATTTTCCAGATATCTGGGACAGGTGATGAATCATTCCTATTACATGTATTTGCAGTTGATTCGATAAACAAAGCTTCTGTTATCAATCTCTCCTTATACCCTGTGACATAAGATTTTAAAACTGTCATCTTATCCCATTCATCCTATTGTATGGTTGTGTGTAACTGCATGTAGTGCTATAGCTAAACTATTCTCTAGATTTCTTATCTTATTTGGATCAACCAATCTAGATTTTGCTAAGTTTTTATGTCCAGCTAGTCTGACTGCCCCTGTTCTACTAGTTTGAACTATGTATTTGACCCTACAATCAATGCAGGGTATTAGACAAACTAAATTGTTTTGTTTTAAAGGCTCTATAGGATCCTTTAACCGACAAAGCTTGTTTCTAATTGAGTTTGTGGGTTTGAATGCCAGCCACTTTTATTTCTGCCTTGTTAAGAATTCTGCATAAGGCTTCCGAGGTTCCTTCCTTGTTTGGAATTACTACTGATGACTTAGATTCCTTATCGTTGGTGTCGTCATTAATATTATTATCACTATTACTATTATTATCATTATTATTGTTATTATCACTATCGCTACTATCATTATTTATTTTATTTTTACATTTCCTTACATATTTCCTGACTAATTTATCCGGGTAATTATTTAGTTTCAAGGCTTCTTTTATATGTATCAGTTCTTGTTTTAGATTTTCTTTGGTACTACTTAGTTTTTGTGCTCTGTCATTTAAATATTTCATCAATCCTATTTATACTGACATAGGATGGGACGATTGGAAGTCCAAATATCTGTTTGAGTGCGTGGGTTTCCTGTAAACACTAGTGATTAACTTCCCATCTTCTTTCCTCTTTACCTTGCAATCTAACATTGGGAGCTCCCCTTCCTGATTTTCCAATTCATAAGTGAATTGAATTGCTTCAACTTTCGAGTTGATGTGTTCGAAAAACCTATCTATATCTTGTGTTCTAAGTACAGTGAATGTATCATCTACATACCTCCACCATACTTTTGGGGTGGGGGTGAACGTTTCAATCGCTATGCTTTCCCACTTATCCATGAATATATCTGCTACAACTGGGGATATTGGTGATCCCATAGCAACTCCTTCAGTTTGTTTGCATATTTTCCCTTAGAATTTAAATACTGTGGAAGTCAGGCATAGCTGTACTCCCAGCATTATGTCCTCAAGTGGCACTTTTGTCCTAAGTTCGAGTTCTTGGTCAGAAATGAGTTCGTTTCTGACTGCCTCCATGGTAAGACAACAGTTACTAATAAAAGAGGAGACTTTATCAGAGACATTTAGGATGTCACTGTCACGTTGTGATGGATGCAGAATGAGAAAATTTCTTGTAAAAATTATTTTTCCCCACATTATCCCGTTCCATTCGAGGCATTCACTATACAAGATGGTTGAAAAACAGTGTCCTAAGTGGCTTAAAACACACAGCAGTGGGTTCAAAGAGAGTGCAACAGATGAAAGTCTCAGTAACGTTAGGCCTCCAGGATCAACAGATTCCGAACTGATAGTTATGGAGGAAAGTAGAAAACTGTAATAACTACTCCTTTTGTACTGCCAAATCCTTAGTCAGTCAAATAAAGAAACCCAAACACTTCATGAAAATGATACTTCTCTTAATTGTTTTTTTGTCACTTCTCACGTAATATCATCACATCCTTGATTTTCCTTCATATTAACTTGGTATTGTGCATTTTTGTAGCGTATTTTGACACTGCATGAAATAAGGTCAGCTCACTGATTTTATTTGTCAACTGGTAATCATCACAACCTAGTGGTTAGTTTTATTCAGTTTGCTAGAATGAAGCTAGTGGTGGGTGCATCCAACGAATACATCTACGTCAATGGAACCGAATAAATATCAAACTCATGGGAATGCTAAACAATCTCAATAGCTTTCTTTATTATTTCGAACTAACTAGCTTCTACGACTGTTTTTACTTGTTACTTGCCTACGTGTGAATGACAGTAGAATTCAAGACACCAATTTGGTGAATCTACGTCAATGTGAGTGACGATATTCCGTCGAAGTCAGCACACTTGATAGTCTTTGAGAGAATAATACAGACCAGTATTTGTTAACCTTATTTCTGTCATCGAAAAGAAAAATCATTTTAAGGAAATGAACAATGAATGCATAATTTACGAAGAGAAATTATATGGCTGCTTAAACAACGTACCGTTAGAATTAAAAATCGAATTTACATTAGGCAAGTAAAAACGCAACGCTTAATAATAATTAATGCTGACGAGTTCAACTTCTTTGTCTATATGTACGACTATTTCACTGACAGTCCCGACGAGCTAACATAAATTAAAACTGTACATAAAATGAGTAAACTGCATTGTGTACTAAGTAACCAACAGGTTCATATTCATGCGTCTAACCTAGACACTACTACATCAATCGATAGAACAACTTAAGATACGTAATACTATTCATTGTATTTGATTATAAACTAATCATAACCTGATATAGAATTTATAATAAAAGTATTCTAAACACATGAAGGTCGGCGACCAAAGATATTTTCCAAGGCATCTGCTAATGTAGGATAATTAAATTTGAATCCGGAATCGATCAACTTTTTAGGAATGACACGTTGACCATCTTCAACTAGTGTGACACGATCAGGACCGAGAAGAAGTTTAAAAACAGACGGAGGTGTTGGAATTCGACTTAAAGGATTGAACGGAGCCCCAAGTGATTCAGAAACAGCTTTAGCTAGGACAGCCTGTTGAGTAGGTTCTGGTGCTGTACAATTAACAGGTCCACTTGAAAAAGATATTTTAGGATCAGCTACATATTCAATGATTCTAATTAAATCACCAAGATGAATCCAAGATATCCACTGACGACCAGAACCAATTGGATTACAAAAACCCAGACGATGACTGAGATATATAGAGCGAATAAAATGTGAGTCTTTGGACAAAACTACACCTAAAGGAACAAAAATAAAAACACATACATGTTACTTTTGAAAGTGAAGGTTATATTCAAATTCTGAAAAACAAATTTTGTCATACCTCAAGTTAGTAACTAATTAAGTTTAAGATAGATTAGTTAGGATTCATAAAGCATCAACTTCACTTGTAATTTAATAATTATTCAAAACTCTATAACAACCACATCACAGCGATTGCCTAAATTAGTGATCAATTGTCTCGCAAATAAATGAGACCAAGACTTCAAAGCATCACTCTACGCTTCTTTATTTGACATGGGAACAGGATTTGGGTATTGTGGTAGATCAGTCACAGAACAATTTTAATTTGATAAAAAGCACAGCGACACAATACTACTACTCATTTGAGAGTGCCATCATATGTTTATGAATAAATTGTGCTCGAGATGTCGTCAAGGAAACCAATCAACGAGGCTGTGAAGCTACATCGACTGAGATGGTCAGGACATGTGTTACGTATGGCTAGTCATCGCCTTCCTCGACAATGCGCATTGTTAGCTGACATAGGGTCAGGTTGGAAAAGAGCCAGTGGCGGTCAAACCAAGACATGGCCCCAGTCAATGAAACCCACAACAGTTAGTTTAAGCCACGTAGAAGGATGTAGACTTCCTGGTTGGGGTCCTCGGGACGGTAAACACCAATGACTGAAGACAATCGGTGATATGGCTCAAAATCATTCTCAATGGCTGGTGCAGATGCATCCACTCCTTGTGACTTATATCCGATAAAACTATATCGATCTTCGATATTACTATTCCTTTCGCCTCGTATCCCTGTTTACTATCTCTATTTTGCATTTCCTTTTACTTTCTTCTCTTGCTTGGTGAGCTACATGGAGTGTGGCTACTTGAACTGCTGCACATCGGTGCAAAGTTCTATGTTGAAAACAGACAGACAGATCAAGTAAATAATACTGTATCATTGTTTCTTGTCACAAAATAATTCTGTGGTGGAGTGCCTTTTCTATAATTAATAATTGTTTACTGCTTCTACGAAGAGCAGTACCTAACAATTTCATTAGACATACAATCTTTACTTTAATCAGCTAAGTGTTAAGCAACTGTATAGATATGACTATTGGCCGCCAAACATGAAAGTTGTCAGTTTCAAATTAACTGATGCTAAGGCACAACTGATAATTATGTGAAAAAATAATGAGTGAAAAGGTATCATATGAACGAATTGTTTGTTCCAACAAGATTACAATAAAGTATAGTCGTCAAACCCCACCCTCTGAAAATACGAACAAGAAACGACAGACGGTTTTATAACAAATCTTGGACGCACGAGATGATTTGAAGTAGGGTGGAAACTTACTGCGTTTTCCAAGGTATCCATTAATAAATCACTAGAACTTACCTGTTCGTAACTGAATTTGTCGAATATCAGGTCTCGAATGTAATTGAGCAGCTTCTTCCCACTGTTTAACAAGGCTTGTGATTAGACCACAATCTTTGTATGCAGCAGATTCATCGTAAGTGGCTTCCAAATCGGGAGCATAGAAACCTGGCATGCGGAAATACATAATAAAAAAATAGAGATGATAAATGTAATTTCGCACGAAATATTACCAGAAACAAAAAAACATCATTGTGTAAACTATTGAAATATAATTTATTTTGATTTATTCCACATTGCTCAAACTGTTTACTGACATCAATGATGAATGTATTCGGGCATCAAAAACATCGCCTGGCTACAAGTTTATGGAACTTACAATTATAAATACTCGTAGATAGAAGTTTTCAAAATAATTCAGATCATATATTTGAATGAGACATTACATAACTATTGGATGCATTCTCATTATTTTTTAAAAGGAACATTGATTGAACATTTCAGATCGACACAATTATCTTGCAATATTCAATCAATCCAACTGCTGGTGAACAGTGATTTCAAGAGGGGAGATTCACTTACTTTTATTATAATGCATACTCAGTGTGAAAGCTAGGTGCAAGACTCACACCTTAAACACGATCAAAAGGTATCCACTTATAATTTCAACTTTATAATGTTTGAGTGATGATAGAGTAAAAATAATCTATAAACTTCAAGATATTTAGGTCTCAGATTGATTCATGAAAAAGGAATCGAAGAATAAAGAATCGAAATTCTGCTCCTTATACGTTAACTAGGGCAAGCAGGAAATACTGAGAATTTTTATCGGGAGGTGCATACGTAAACTAAAAGAACTCACCGATGGCGGAAGCATTTATAAATGCTTTTAGTCGAGCAGACTTCGAGGCCTCAACCAGAATCCTGGTTGTATCTAAACGACTTGAGAAGAGTTCTTCGATAAATTTATCATAATTCCTACAATATATTAACATAAATACAACTGCAATTTAATTGGCTAACTGTTTAATAAGAAGGGATGGGTTGATTTCCCCAATATTTCTGCCGCTTAAGTTCACAACAACATTTATATCTTCTGGCAACCCATCCTGCTTGATAGAGTTCTGAGATAAATGCATATTATATTTGTAGAAGAAACTCACCCAACTTAAATCATTCGAATCTTTTGGATTACGTGTAATAATCTGTACTTTGTGTCCAGCTGCTCGGAGTGATGAAGTGAGCGACCGGCCGATAAGTCCAGTCCCACCGCCTACATATAAGTTTATCATAAAGAATATTAAAAACAGGAAGAATTAATCGTAACAATTTAACAAAGATTACTTGCACAGAACACACTCGATAGTTGGGGACAGCTGGTCATTAGTGATATGTAGTCTTAATATATGCAGAGGTGTTTTCGTGTTATTACGACTGCCATCTATAACGTTTAACTACAGAGAACAGCAACAGAGCATACAACTAACTTCACAATGTGAATCCGTACTAAAGTGTGCCAGTCTAAGCGACCAGACTTCAGAAGAGCACACATGAAGGTAGAGAAAAGAAATGTAGTGAAGCTTCGATATATCAAGATGAACAACAGTAAGTAGGACAGAAAACCGGAAAGATGTAAGTTTGCGTTGCTGCAAATGATGGTGAACCATATCACGACTTCGTAGGTTGAAATCGCATATTGGCATGACCACCCGTAACTCTTTGCTAATATAATGCTCATTAAGGTAATGCTTCACATCAATCAAGGTGGCAAATAAGCATAAGAAACACGTCTAAGCGACCTCATTTGGTGAACCATCACCGAAGGCTAACGTATATCACCCTTAACGCAAACCTTCCTGAAAATCGGTCATGAGGTCCAATTTCGCCTTGGATAAAAAGCTGTCGTGAAAAACTCAGTCAGTATCACGTTAGTAGTGACGAAAAACTGATGTGTTAGTCAACCGATGTATCGAATTATAACAAAAGTTCAATCCAGTGAAAGCGAAATATTAACATAACTGAACTAATAAAGTATAATTATATTTCAATAGTTTACACACCAATAACAAAACTTATCATTGTGCGTAAACTATTGAAATGATCTAATCCACAATGCTCAAACTTTTTACTGATAATAACCGAACTAATATAATGACTTTATGATAAATATAACCTATTATACTCGCTGCACATCTCACCTTAACTGTGACGCTAACTTAAAAACTTAGTCAGGGTGGAAACTGAAAAGCAGACTGTGAAAAAAGCCTTTAGTAATATTGGGTGATATGTTGGATTAACCAAAAGTCACTTGGCAGTATTGTCTATTTTTTACTCTTGCTAACTCCCACTTGAAATAAGACACAAACATTCGTGCACTTTTACAAAACGATTACCAAGACAACATTCACCTTTAAAAACTCCGACTTTTAGAAAATCTAATACTTAATTAAACTTGTTAACGCCTCATAACGAATTAATTCAAACCAACCTATCAAAAAATTCATTGCAAGAATAAACAAAAGTCTCCAGTCTGCCACAAGTTTGTCGTCAAAAGTGTTCACTTTTTCAATTGTTACTTAAATGTATGAAATGTACAAAGTTAACCTACCAAACTTCATTGTTCATACGGAGGACCGACTAAGCGACAAGGCAGGTGGCGTAGACATCTACCTCAAGAAGAGCCTAACTGTGAGTAGCACTGAAGCTGTCGCAGATGAAAATGAAACAAGTGAACTTCTCTGCTGTAGACATTAGTGCATAAGCCAAGATATTGACTTCTTTGCTATATAACGTGATCCCGGCTGCAATGCAGACGACTTCGTCATAGAGGAGCTGGGATCGTGGACATCGAAATATCAAAGGCTCGTAGTCGGAGAATTCAATGTCTCAACAGTAGACTGGGCAAGCATGACAACACCATCACCAGGCATATAATTCCTGGAAACTAGCATTTCACCAGCCCTAGTCCAATAATAACATATTTATTTTCGAACATTCGCTTCCGCGAATGGACTATTTTTACAATATTCAAGTTGAATACACGCACAAAAATACATGGAAAAATTTCTTTTATATTACAAAATAGTAACTTAGATTAGTAGTAAACATTATTATCGTTTTTGTGCCCAAAAGGCCTCCACGCAGTCGAACGGCCCGTACATATAGTTTGGGCAAGACCATTTCGGGGTTGAGAAGCCATTTGTGAGATTCAGGGCAATTTGTTGACTCAGTTAAACCGTAACCATACACCGGGGGTGTAGCTGTTGTGCCCAGCTTTCATGGGCTTCTTCTGCTGATGTTACTATTTGTCTTTGGGCTTGCATCGGAAGATTACAGATCCTAAGAAAAGGTGTGAAGGTGGCGGATGACGCGATGCTGCGTATGAGCGGATTCTTATTGTTGAGTAGTGCCTCGATTCTTTTGCGCCTATTAATCGGAATCGTTGTTGAGAGATTCATAAATGCCAGGCCTCCCTTTTTGATATCCGCGTGGAAAAATGCAGTTGGAGCGTCTTTCGGGAGGTGAAGCCATCGGCGGACAGCTGCACGAATAAGTTTGTCCATCGTTTTCAGAGTATTCTTGTGAGTGATGCTGAGAGTCAGTGAATATAGTAGACGAGGAATCAGATTGTTCTTCAGGATTCTCAGTCATTGATGAGGTTTGAGGGGGGCGCTTTTCACATTGTCTCAGTATTTATTGAGGACAACCACATGAAGCCCAGGCTCTATGACTCGAAGGACTCCTTTGCAGCTCTAGACCTAGTTTCCTCCTATGGTGAGGATGTGGACCCCATACAACATCTTCCTCCATTTGGAAAAAGAGTTTACTTTCAAGTTCAAAGCAGCCGTATTGTGTGCTAAAATTTCAGCCCGACAGAACTTTCCGATAGCTGAATGAAATGCAGTTGCCTCGGCAGTCAACTTGGTGAACTGATAAAGTAAAAGCCGCATGGAACCAGTCTAAACACGTTTAGCTCAGGTAAATGAACTTTTCATCTTTTGGTCTGTCCCAATGGTCGGAAACATTGGCCTGAGAGACTGGTGAATTACTCGGACGTAAATACAAATTCTGGAACCTGTTTACGCACTTGAGACTCCTGAGACCGGGGAGTTGTACAACGTCGCTAAGAACAAACATATTGCGGAAATGCGCCGATCAAGGGTGAAGTTCGAAACACATCTGGCTGCAGCTGAACAACATAAGAGAATTTCATCATACATGAACTTCAGGAATAAAACATCTAATTGGTCCCGAACCTGAATATTGACACCGAAACAACTGAATCAGGAAAAAGCAGAGGCAATAGCAGGCTACTTCTGCCATGTCATCATACTGCAGTCGTCAATCCCCATAGGATCAGTCTTTGCCACGTTCAAGGAACACGGGATAGATTCTCCTGACTTTGACCAGGACGTCGTGTTCAACTGCCTTAAGGAATTAGATGCGGGGAAATGAATAGTCCCTGATTATCTTTTAGGGGCTGCGGGTATCGACGTTCGCGAGTTGTACGGATTATACTAACGCAAGATCTTATACCAACAACCACTATAGTGTTCGTTCTTCGAGTACCAAATGGTAAAGCAAAAGACCAGATTTTGTCGTCCAAAGTACGTATTATATTTCGGGACAAAATCGCGGGTAGAGGTGAATGCTTAGCTAGCTAGTAATCGTGCACGCACGTGACACGACGAAGCACCAAATGGCGGGGATGCTTGACCGTAAGCCTTCAGCTAAACAAGTCGACTTAAACAGTGATGGTCAGCATCCAATGTTGAGTGATGATTGCTGTGGTTAATAATTTTGGGGAATTATTTACCGCTACAGCTCACTCCCCCCCCTAGTGGGTTTGTGAGGACCCTAAGACATGACCAGCCGGAAGTAAAAATATCTCGATGGTTCCCTGAGGGGTGAAAAAAATCTTCCGAGCGGCTTGATGGAGAGCCTGCTGGTCTGTCTGCCTATGCTAATAGGGTGTCTGTACATAGCTTCTTCGATGTTGTTCGTTGGATCCCGTGCTTCGTTTGTTTCCGGTCCAGTGCCCGTTGCACCTGGAAAAGAAGACAAGAATGCTGAGAACCTTGTCAAGAAAAATGTACCAAACAAGCGTTTTTTTACCAAAAAAATGATATGCATCTACTATACAGTAAAATAATGTAAAGTTCAAAATATCGGGAAAAAAGAATATACATCTAATTTAATTTTATGTACGGTTATAGGAAAAATATCATTTACTTGTGTTAAATGACGCAACATAAAAAAAATTGATGTGTCACTCAGTTATGTGAAATAGGTATGAAGGTATCCTGGGAATCTAACGTGACGTCCAGAACGCGTTTTCTTAGAGTGATCGACCGAAGTAGCCAGTGGGCGAATGCCCTGACAGTCAATAGTGTGACCCCAAAAATCGAGTGAGTCAACGCCTATTTGACACTTCTGTATATTGATGGTAACACCATGTTGGCGTAACCTTTCAAATGCCAAGTCCAAGTGTCTAAGGTGAGTTTCCTTATCTGGACTGGCAATGAGGCAGTCGTCTAAGTATGCGTATACAAAGTCGAGACCGCAAAATACTTCATCGATGAAGCGTTGGAATGTTTGGGCCGCATTCCGGAGGCCAAATGGCATACGTAGGAATTCGAAAAGTCCGAAAGGCGTGATGATAGCCGTTTTCGGAATATCTTCCGTTGCCATCGGGATTTGGTTATATGCTTTAACCAAGTCGATTTTGGAGAATATAGATGCTCCAGATAACGTTGCCGTCAAGTCGTGTATGTGAGGCAAAGGGTAGCAATCAGGAGTTGTTTTGGCGTTCACTCGCCGGTAATCACCAGTGGGTCGCCAATCGTTACTATCCTTTTTCGGTACCATATGCAACGGGGATGCCCATGGACTATTCGATGGCCGAATGATGCCAAGGGTGAGCATATGATCGAATTCGTTTCTGGCAATTCTTAGTTTGTCAGGGGCCAGTCGTCGTGCTTTAGATGTCACGGGCTGTCCTGAGGTTATGATGTGGTGCATAACATTGCTGGTTATGCACGGGAGATCGTTAGATGGGCAATTCAGTTCCGGATATTTGTCAACAATCGGTTGAAAAGTTGGATCGGGGATTGCTTTCATCTTAACGATTGACAAGCTGGGGCCTACGTAAGTTATGCCTTTGATAGACAAACTAGTAGTGTTGTCAATTAGTCGTTTACGGCGGACGTCTACGAGCAAATCATGATGATTAAGTAGGTCCGTGCCGATGATGGGCATTGTGACGTCAGCGATTAGAAAAATCCACCGAATAGGTTTGCGTAAACCTACGTTCAGATAGACGTATTTCCGACCATAGGTTGCAATTGGTTTTCCATTTGCAGCCTGTAGGTTGAAGTTAGGATCCTTCTGTCGATCTGCTGCTGCAGCAGGAAGGACGCTGACTTCGGCGCCTGTGTCGACTAGATATCTAGTCTGGCTCATTACATCATGGATGTAAAGTAAGCGGCTAGTGCCACCAGCGACGGTTGCCGCTAACGCGTGCCGGCGGGATAGTTTCCCACAGACTTGGAGGCTCTGCCGAAATCACAAGGTTTTCGACAACATTTCGCTTCCTTGCCATAGGTGTTGTGATACCAACACCAGTCAGGATTTTTGAGAGAGCGTGTGTTGGACTTAGATCGTCCACGTGCGCTTTGCTGTCGAGGGGATTTAGAACGACGATAGGAGGAATTGCTAGGCTTGTTTGACCTAAGCATCTGCTGGACGGAGTTGATTAACTCTATCATTGCAGAATCCTTCGAAGTCTGTTCGGTAACAGAGTATACTTCGGTGACTGGCCGTTTCGTTATCTCTAGAATTCTATCTGCAGAGACAGCTAAATCATCTATGGGAACACCCTGAAGTGTCACAAGTACAGTCTGAACTGACTGTGGCAGTTTGGATAAAAATAGTTCTCTAAACAGTCCTTCATCGAACTGACTTTGGCCAATGATCTCTTTCATTCTTGCCAGCATGCTCACGGCTGACTGATCTCCTAACCCGATGTTACAAAATAACTCATCCAGACGTTGTCGATCTGTGAGAACGTTTCTCTTGAGGATGGATGCTTTGAGCAACTCGTACGAGTTACTTACCGACATCTGCAGAGTTACGCACCTGCTGAATTCCCGCGGTAGGGCGTGAATAACTGCGAGGAACTGTGAACGTTGATCGGTTATGCCATGTTCACAAAAATCAGACTCAGCAATCTGAAACCACGTTTCAGCATTATCTGGCCAATATGGTACTAGCTGGATTGTTTTGGCGGTTGAGCGAATCTGAATAACCTTGGGGCTAGGATCACTCATGACGAAAAGTATGCCGATAACAATATAGTACAAGAATAAACACAAAAAGGAACGAACTCACCGGGGTTTATCTGCGTGTGAATTGAAGATGAAGTTCGAGGTTGGGCTCACCAGTTTAGAGGGCTGTAGGTATCGACGTTCGCGAGTTGTACGGATTATACTAACGCAAGATCT